TACCGGGTGGGACAGAAACCCCAACAGGCCGGCCCCCTCATACTACAATTATCAGTTGATAAAGAAACAAATCAAACATTACTCAAGTCAAAAATCATTCTACCTAACAAAAACAGTTACCTGTGGCCCTTCAGCTACATCATCAAGTATAGAGAGTACATCCTTTCTCCATTTCCCCACTGTACATTCTTCTAAGTTACCATCTGAATTTCCAATTCCTGAGTAGTCGAACCTGAAAGAAGGGAAAATATATATTTATACCTAAATGTCTGTATGTGGACATTTGTCCATGACTGCTTCTTTGATTTTTAAAGCAAAATAGGACATTCTTCATTACTATAGTGACAAAACCACAGCAGAACATCACTCAACATTCATTCTAGCAAATACTACTGGTAACTTCCAAGTACCTCTCACGTCAATCACTTTCTTACCTGTTCTACTGCTACCTTTAGTACGTTATTATCTCAACTGTCATTGCTGTATTTCATCCTCATAGCCTATTCCCACAGAGTAGTCAGAATGATCCTTTTAAATAAAATATCAGCATACATGTTTTGTATATTTAATAAAACTCAAAGCCCTTACCATACTTCCCTGACTACCACCACTCTGACCTCAGTTTCTAGAGCTCTCTTTCCCTTCCCATTGAATTCTGTCACTCCTGAAGTTAGAGATGTGAGCCATTCACATTCCTGCACCATGGACTTTCACCTCTGCTTGGCACACCTCTACCTCCAGATGTCCATTAGATATCCCTCGAATCACTCACTCCTTCAGCTCGAACACTGGAGCTCATGGAAAGCTGCTCTCATCATTCCCACACTAAAACTGCTTCTTTCACAGCTCTATGCTCTACTACTGTTTTATTGTCTTCCTAGCAATTACTGCTACGTAGTTCTAGAGTCAACTTCATCATGAACTCTTCCTTCTAAATTTCCCCAGGGAACCAAGTTCAAAGGCCGTCTAATCTCTCCGTTTTACCTTTTCTTCAATAAATTATGAAGTACCGTATCATGTCCCCAAGTTATCAAAATCCCCAGTCATTTGGAACTACTCCCAATTCCTGGCTGAACCCCTTTATAACTATGAACTTTTGCCTGCTATTCCACTGCCTAGAAAACTCCCCACCAAACTTCTCGCCACTCTTTACGTCACATCCCTTCATTTGGAGAACTTTTCCTCATTCAGTACCTGTGCTGGAGAGACAGGAGCTCCCTGGCCAGTCAGTCTAGCCTACTTGGCAAGCTTCAAAGCACTGAGAAACCTTGTCTCTGACAACAGGGTGAATGACTCCTGAAAAGTACCAACCAAGGTCATCTCCTGGCTTCCGCATGCATGCACACAAGCATGCATGGTCATGTTCACACATTTGGAAGGCTGCTTTATACTCACCACTACTACAATGCTACACAAAAAGAACTTAAGAAAATCTATGGTGAAAGAGCTATAGTTCATAAATACATATTTATATAGCATCCAATATGCAGAAAACTACATTATGCCTGGAACTGGCTATAGCTCAATCTGAAATGAAATTCAAGAACTAGTAAAACGGTGATTCCTATTTTTATATATGTTTTGCTGTAGGTGTGGATGTGTTCCCATGTGTGGGGGTGTATACAGCACATGCACACATTTGCAGGGGCCAGAGGCTGACATCCAGTCTCTTCCTTGATCACTCTCCACTTTATACACTGAATCCGAGGCTCACTTTGCAGCTTGCTTAGGAGATTTCATTCTCTGCCTGATTCCTGGTGGGCGGCCACACCCACCCTGCTTTTCTGTGGACTGGATTCAGAGAGCCCAACTCTGAGCCCCACACTTGCATAGAAAGTGCTTTATTCACTGGGCCATCTGCCCAGTCCTAAAATGCTCATTTCTTTATTAAATTATTTTTCAGACAAAAAAAGCAATGACAGCAATATTTCTGATTGTTTGTATATTCTCCTCAGAGGTCTCTCTCCATAGAACTGCCCTTCTACCCACATCTTTATTTTCTTTCAGAGTTCCTTGTCTTGTCCATCCATTTCCCTCCGCAGTGTCTCTCACCTTAGGTAATTTCTTTTTTGAATCACATTCTGATGAGTACTTCTGCCTAATAACCTCCAAATATTTTCATTCCTTGCTTAAGGGCAAGTACAATGTTTCACTATTAATATATTATTAAGCTCTAGTCTTCAAAGTAAGTTAAATCAAGAGATTTTAAAATATATTTGAGAATGGAAAGAAATAAATTTGCTAGTCTGAACAAAGGAATTAGACTAAATCCCTCTGAAAGACAAAATTTCTGCAAGTATACTGAACAGATAATGTCTAAAAGTTTTATATGGAGGGGCTGGAGAGATGGCTCAGAGGTTAAGGGCACTGCCAGCTCTTCCAAAGGTTCTGGGTTCGATTCCCTGCAACCACATGGTGGCTCACAACCATCTGTAATGAGATCTGGTGCCCTCTTCTGGCCTGAGGGCATACACACAGACAGAATATTGTATACATAATAAATAAAAACCTTTGTTTTTTAAAAAAGTTTTATATAGAGCTGTATTTTCTAGAATTATTGAACGAATATTAATGAGATGTTTTTAAACATTTAAATGAATAGATTTTTAGGATGTGAGCACTAGGAAAAAAACTCAGAAATTATCTTTGGTCCAGCTTTCTTTTACTCGATAACAAACTTGTGTCTACTGTGTGTTATTGATTTGTTTCATCAGTTACTGAAAGAATTCTGCCCTCAATCCTTATTTCTTCAATTCTACATCAATATTTTCCCCATTAAATTATATCCCCTTCTTAAAATTAAAATATCAAAAAATTGATAAACCTAACAAATTCAGTTATATGAATACATTTTTATTAAGATATCTGAGTGAAAAGGAAGAAACAAATATAAAATTAAGTTTTAACTAAACATAAACCTTGTTTATGCTCACATACATTTAGATAATGTAAGTAAAAGAAAACAGAAATGTAAATTACACGATATCAATCTTTCAATGTTATATTACTTTTAAAAATACTTTTTTGTGTGTGAGTTTTGCTAGGGATTGGATCCAGGATTTTGTGCTAAACACAAGCTCTAACCCTGAGCTATATACTCTTAGTTCTAAATATCTATTTTAGAAAGTAATAAAACAGTGATCAAATACATTCTACATCCTTAGTAGAAAATCCATCAACACAAGTGATTACAAGAAACCCAATGAGCATATATGTTTTTGCCACACAGATTACTTTATGTTTAGAACTTAGTTGGTAGTTCCCTTATGGAACGCTTTTCTGCCATCTAGCCAGCATGGCACAAAGACCTTAAAGACTCTAAACTACAAGATGAAAGTCTGTACACTACTGAAATAAATTCATCTACTAAAATGCTGGCATTTACTTGAGTTGGCTCTATTATAATGCTAAATGATAATATATTCTCTGATATGTATTGTTCCTACCTTATACAGGCGTGACCTAGAGATTTGCAAAACTCCTCAATTGCCAGTGCCTTTTCACCATTCATATCAGAAAGATAGCCCGGGATGAAGATAATTCCTGGGTTTTTGCCTTTTAGCTTCTTATAAGCCAGGCTTGGAAGGTCTGGTCGGTTAAGGAAAGAGAGTGATACCTTTTGTCTGCAAGCTAAACAAAGTACACAAAACATGAATTATAGTTTCAAAATTTATTTTGGAAAATCACATTTTCAAATCTTAACTTTAACTCATTGCATTTGATAGGAAAATCAAAATAGGCTTTGAGCATGAGATATTTAGTTTTAAAGTTTTATCAAAATTTACTTTCTTAGAGCAAGGACCAATCATACTTTTCCAAAGTACACAATGAGGTAGAAAGTTCAATGAAACAAAAGACAGGCTCAACAACAACAAAAAAATATCTTCATGTTGACACCACGTGATTATCCTGGACAGTAGCATTTAACATTTAGATTTAAATACACCGCTTAGCCTCTCCCTGAAGGGTTGTTTCTGTTTTGTTTTAACAATGTTTCAGGAATTTCACATTTTCTACTTTTGGTCATATAAGTGGGGGAAAAGAAGTACATGCATGCTCTGTCTTTCCCTTTCCTTTGCCTTTACAGAATTATTTCAAATATGAACTGGCAAGGCTGCAGGCACCCACAATGCCATGATTTGGGAAGAGGATGTAAAATACTCCTGAGTTGGGAAAACACTTAGCAAGGAAGCAATGATGGCGGAAGCCCAGGAATGTCAGGAAACAGGGAAGAAGCCACCGCAACTTCCTACCAAATGGAGTTTCAAAAGGTTGTTCCTTTAAAGATAACACTGGATCAAGCAGCACTCTGGAAAAAATTCTTCTCATACAACTCTGTAATCGCTGTGTTTACTTTTGTTGGTTATTTTTTCTGTAAGTGATACACAAAGGGTAATTTAAATATAACAGGAAAAAGTGTGAATCTTACAGGGCTACTCCAGTTCATTGTTTTAATTTCCCCAATATAAAATCAACATTAAAAAAAATCAAAGACAGGCTTGAATATTCTCGAATAGTCATTTTCCCAACCAATAATCTTTTATTTTATTTTTAAAAGTTTTTTTAAAAATTACTTATTTAGTGTAATATACACATACTATGCATATATGGGGAACTCAGGACATGGGCTCTCCCTCCACCTTATAGGTCCAGGTTGCCAGTCTTGGTGGCAAGTGCCTTTACTTGCTGAGCTATCCTTGCTAGCCCTTTTTAAAAAAATAAAATAAAATAAAAATAAATAAAAAATAAATTAAATGACTTGTGGTTGATCTCTCTCATGTGTACTGCTAAATTTTTTCCCATTTTCAATTTGTCCAGTTTGTATTTTTTTCAGTTATTAGAGAGTCTAGAGTGACAGTGCGCACTCACGAGTCACAGGCAGGAAGCAATAGCTAAGAGTTCCAGGTCACCCTTTTCTGCACAGTGAGATTATTATTACACTGCACACAGAGATTCTATAGTGAAACCTTGTGTCACAAACACCAGCAAACCACACATACTCCCCAAGCACACATGAACAATCAAAAGCTTTAAGCTATCGCCTTTACCTGTCTGCCAGGTTCAAAGGTTCAGAGCATGGGAAAATACGCTGAGGTAAAAACTGATGAAAAACAGAGCTACTGGGGATCGGTCTGTGTTGGCCAATAGTCTGTATCAGCAGCAATGTTCACTTCCCATTTCCTTAACTAAACACTCAAATAATCCTTGTATCTCCTTCCAGACATTTCTTCCGAACAAATGAACTGCATCCTAGGCAGTGATCACTGAATTTATGTTTGTGAGCTATTAACACAACATTCAATCTATAAGCCATCTTTATATAATATGGATTAGCTGAAAGCCTGCCGGGTATATATGGTCAATAAACACTGCTGAAGAGATAACGGAAGTTTACTCTTGTTAACGAATTGGCATACCATAGTTTGCTGAGATTACATAATACTCACTTTGTTTTTGGTGTGCGGTGAAAGTTAAACTGGTTACATACGCTAAAATCATGTTACTTTATATAATGACATTACTATTCCAAATACTATGCATCTGCCAACAGCTGTGTGGCAAGGAGCGAAAAAGCACACCAAGGATATCATTCAAGGATAACAATATGTGTGTATATATATATATATGTTTATATTATATATTGCTCATATAACACATATATTAAATATATTAATATATAAATCATATATTGTGTATATGTAATATTAATCCAAATTTTGGTTTCCATTGTAAAGCAATTACAGTTCTTTTGAGAAGAAAAATCTGATATGAGATTCAAAGACGGCATCTACACATACAAAGAACATGCCTCATTCTGTATGTTGCCTCAAGTCAACCAAGGGCAGGGCTAAGCATTTATCAAAATAACGGTATGGAAAGCTCTAGAGGCAGGTAATAACCAAATACATCACATGCATATCTGAATTTATTTTTTTCTGGTCTTGGCGTTTGATTCAGAGAACGCAAACGCTCCTTAAATCGCTGTGTAAAACGCAGTCAAGGACCTCCAAACGGCCCAGGGCCCCAGCAGAAAGCCGCCTCTGCCAGCCCAACCCCAGAAGTGCTCAGGGTGCCCAGAGAGCCACACAGTAGTTTTGAATGCAGCGCCAAACCCCTCTCGGCGGGCGGGCGGGCGGGCACCAGACGAACGCCGGGCGAGTCCGAGCCCCGCCTTGCTCCAGTACACTAACCTGGCAGCCACCATGCCCGTGGGGGCTTCCGAGCTAGCGACGCGATCGGGCCTCGGTGCCGGCCGAACAACACAGCCGCCCAGCCCCACCTCCGACAGGGTACCCAGGCCGCCATCTTCCCAGCAGCCCCTGCGCCCGCCACAGACCCGCGCCGGACGCGGGGTCCCGAGGTCACGCACGCGCAGTCCGTAGGAAGAGGGGGTGGGGCGGTGGGGAGTAAGGTTACGCTGCGTCGCGCGGGATTTGCGTCTGGAGCGGAGCCGCGTGCGCGCGGTGGTGTCTGCCGGGCCATCTTCTCTTAGGCTGTTTATCTCCCCAAAGGGCGTCTGGCTTGTGACATTGGGGTGGCCTTGGCCGGCTTTCTTCACAGTGAGCTACAGAAATCTCGGCCAGGAGCCAGGGCCGAATTGAATGTTCATAGAAGGGAAACCATGTTTTCATCCCGTGACAAAAATTGCTAGGCTTCTTGCAGTACCAGTCTGTGCGGGCAAGGTTTCCAAGAGGCGACCTTAATCTAAAATTCACATCATTGGAGTAGCATCGGATATTCTTTGCTCTCCCCAAACAAACATTTACTCAGCAGATTGCCAAAAATTCCAATGAGGAGCAGCCACTAGCAAGATACTGGAGACACAGGGCTGCTAGGTGAGTGGCAACCAGCCTTTTGTCAGGCAATCCGGTCATGTTTGTTACAACGCACATAATTCCCGGTACTCTTTAAACTACCACCCCGCGCTTCTGACTGACCTAAATAAAAAGAACACGGGTTCCTAAGGTCGTGTTTACCTTACAGCACCATTTTTATTTTTATTATTTTTAAAGATGAAAAACAAGATGGGGAGCAATCAGTGGCTATAATTGAACAAACTAGGATCTCTGGATACAAGCTGTCTGGAATCTGACATCCTTCAAAGTAATATGGGGTGGGGTCAAGTATCACTGTATATGCCTTATCTTGTGTATTCTGGTTGAAATTATTGTACCTAGTGCAATACTTCAGGTAAAACCATGTCACTGTTTGTCTTGATTAGTTTTGTCAGCTTTGAGCATCTAGGAAGAAGAAACCTCAACTGAAAATGACCACGTCCATCAGGCTGGCCTGTAGTCAGTCTATTGGGCATTTTCTTAATTGCTGACTGATATAAAAGGGCCTACCTCACTGTGGGCAGTACATCCACTGATAGGTGTGTCTGTGCTATATTAAGAAAGGCAGCTGAATGTGAGCCTAGAAGCAAACTGGTAAGCAATATTCCTCTGTGGTTGCTGCTTCAAGCCTCTGCCATGATTCCTTGCCTTGGCTTTCCTCAGTGTCCTGTAAGCTAAATAAACTCTTTTCTCCCTTAAGTTGGCGTTGGTCATGCCGTTTATCACAACGACAGAAACAAACTTGGACTCTATCCCTTTAGAGACTTGGGAGCAGTTATTGGTGCCAGAGTTAAAGCCAGGCATGTCTTTGGAGTCTTGAGAACATGATCTGTTAGAACAGACCGAAGAAGCTTAATAAAGAAAGACAAAATAGATCTTTTGTTTTTGTTTCTTAATCATTTTGGTTTTGCTTCACTTACCTATGCCCCATTCCTAAATTATCTAATTAAAGTCATCTTTGCCTGGAAACATGAGAAAACATTGAGGAACAGATCATAGCTGTATGTTCCCTTTTGAGGTTATAGGGACTCCTCATGACTGCGAACAGCATCAAAACACCAAGAGAGCTCATTACTGCATGAAGTAGCCAGGTACCCACCTGAATGTGCTAACATGAGACTCCCACAAATTCCATGGAATGAAAGCTCTTCTGCCTCCTCCTGCCAGCTCGGTGTCAACAAAACTGTTTGCCGGTCACTGTCTCTCAAGTCACTGGTATGATCCATGGCCAGGGTCAAAATGGGAGTTTTCACAGACCCATTTTGCCAGTTCGGATATAGGACCAGGATGGACAGAGATGCCAAGGAACTGAGTCAGAAAGGTAATGATATCCAACAAATTCTACATCACTCTTGTATCTTAACAGCACAAACTTGTCCTTGATATTGTTAGCCCCCACCCCTTTCTGCACTCTATTTTTGAGTGTCTCCTTGTACTTTATATGTAGCAGAATTCTAAAAAATCATGTGATTTATCCTAACGAAAGTACTGTATATGCACATAAAAGTGGGGAACCCATGGATTCCTTTCTCAATCCACTCTTACCAGCAAAACAAATCAGAAACCTAAGTGGCTTCGTGACACCGTCAAAATAGTTTCCCTGACAGTAGTGAGCTTGAAGCCAAACAGTTGTAAAGGTTTTTCTTGGTCATTGTTCCTTTCATCAGCATACAAAAATAAAAGGATTCTTTTTTTTGAAGGCAGCTTCTCTGTCTGACACCCAGAAGAGGTCCCTACCAAGTGAAGCCTCAAACTTTCCTTCACATTTGCATTGCACCTTTTAGGGAAGCAATAGCTAATCAATACAAATGGATGAGAGTGACATGTAAGATGTTCAATGTTTACCTCATTTTGTCAGTGATAGGAATGTAATCATGATGTCAGCGCATATCTACCGTTAGGTAGATTCTACTGCTAGCTTTTGCTGATTAATTCATCATCTGTTACGTTACAGATAGGTAATGAGAGAGAGAGACAGAGAGAGAGACAGAGAGAGAGACAGAGAGAGATTACTTTCAAATGTGAAATCAGGTCAACACTTTAATCCAAACTCAATACATTTAGCACACATATCTAAAAGGTTCAGACATGCAAACTGATTAGAATACCATTATCATCCTATGGGGAAAGTACAGTACAGAAAAGCTGTGTTTTTACATTAGTCAACCAGATCTTTGCAATTGCATTTTAATGTTTTAGATCACAAGAGTTGAAGGGGACTACTGCAGAAATCACAGCTGACAAAATACCTCCTACAGTCATGATATTTCTCCCTCATTATTCAAGTAAAACCTGGCATCATCCAGTTGCAAAATCATATTAATGGTAACATGTATACAGGTATAAAAGTACACTGTAAGTTTAAAAAAAATTGTACCCAGTCAGGCCTGACAAAGTTTTGTGGATATTTCTAATCATTTCACGTGTACAAGTAAGTAATGGCGTTATTTTCTACTTCTATCCATTTGGCATGTATTCGGAAAGAGTTTATTCATACTTATAAACACAAAACACAACAACTAAAATAATTGGCACTTGGAGAACAATTATAAAAGAGACTTGCCCGAAGTCATTTCATTAAAAAAAAAGATAGCTCTAGAAACAAGGCTATCTGTAGAGATAGAAGTAAAAAGATATAGCATAGAGAACATTACTTTGAATTTTGGTTGTCTTCAAAATAAAGATATTTTAATGGTTCTGTTTTTCAGCGAACCAGAGATAGCTTCATAGTTAGGCCATGTCAGGGTGCAGGTAACAGCTCTGCCCCATAAGCAAGAGGAAGCAGGCAGTCTAAAGGAAATTGGCTGCTGGTTGCTTTTATTCTCAGCACCAGGGATGAACAAATCTTTAACAGAACAGGCTTCCCCCACTAAGTATTCTCCTTGACTACAACTGCCAGATATTGCAGGTTTCTGTTTTCTGAGATGGCCTTTTCTAAAAACAAGGAGCTTTTTTTTTTTCCTTTTTAAAATTGTTTTTAAGAGCCTGGTTTACCACATGTGCACAGTAGCTTCTGTGGTGGGGGAGCACTACAGAATTGACATCACAATACCATTTTAAAGAGTATTGATAGAGTAACACTGATGTTAAACAGGAGGCAAGCCATGTCTTTGGTTTGGGGGCAGTATTTAAAAATTAAGGCAAAATGTCTAAAATATGTTGCCTTCTAAATTATTATTTGCTAATTTTTATAAAATGCTACTTCCTACAAAGAAGGCAGCTGATAACCAATGGTACTGATTTGGGTGCTAAAATAGTATATTTCTAAGTACATATTTACAGACATCGTGTAAACCGTTCAGTGTATTTAACCAACATCAACTGATAAAAAGAGTGTATGAGAAGTTCACATCTAAATGATGCTCTTAGGAAAATAGTGTTTTGATTTTGTTTTGTCAAGGGAGCTGCAGTTCTGTCACTCTGAGCCCTGCTTCCTTTTGTACAAAAGGCTTCCCAATATGAAGAGTTCTGAGTGAATGCAGCTGAAGGGACGTCTGTTGGGCCTTGCCATCTGAGACCGGATATGGCTTCATTCTTGCGAGACACTACTGCAGTCTGCCCTGCAGTGGACCATTGCCGGAGTTCATTACAACAGGAAGTGCGTGTATCCTTCTGCTCCAGTCACTATAACATCCATCCAGATCCGCATGGCCTCCGGTGAAGGAGCCACCATGTAATAGATTCTGTCATGCGTCTTCACGCTAAAGGTGAGTAGTGGGTTCGGACTCTGTAATTAAAACAAGAACAGAATGTCAAAGAGACACTTGGAAAGTTGAGCATCAGCAACGGCATGTGAAGGTTCCTATGCTTTAAAAGCTGCCCTTGACAGAAATTTAAAAAGGTATTTTATGCTACACCTTCCCCTCCGCCCCTTCCACCTTCCCCAGGATGGGCCATTTATTTGTCTGGCTTTTCTACAAGAAATCTCATGCACAGCTCACAGATTCACTAACTAGTTGGTAAAGCATGGTGTCTAGCTGATGGGAGAACAATAGCAGTTATTCCTGACCTATTAAAGGTCCTGATTTGTCTTCACACAGACACACACACACACACACACACACACACACACACACAAAGTAGCTCCTTCCAAAAATGCTTGCATAGCAGCTTATGAGTGTTTCCCAGACCGTTACATCCAGCACCTTTCCTTATGTCACCATGACTTTATCCCTAAACATCGACCATGCTTTCAATTTTAATTTGCAGCAGTGTTCTGAACATTTTATCCATCATGTGAGGCCGCAACCTCTAAATCATTTAAAATCCCCAAATAACCTAACTTGATTACATATTCAAATTTCAGAAATTATCAAGTATTAGTTATAGATGCTCATAACACCACCTACTCAGAAGGCTGGCTGAAGCAGGGGCATTGCAAGTTCAAAGCCAGTCCAGGCAATATGGTGAGACTATGGGGGCCCACAGATGTGAGTCTATTCCACCTTGACTAAAAGTCAGAGAGTTTGAGGTTATTCTTGCTCTCTTAAAGTTGTTGACAACAAGCATGGCTACAAACAAGAGTTCCTGACCCAGTGTGTGGTTAACTACTACTTTGAGTATAGAGGTGGATCGGCTCCACCTTGCTATTATTGCTCCTTCAAGGAGATTGGCAGGAGGTTCCAGGGAGTGGCTGCGTGCAGGATACTTGGTCTACTTCTTATATCATGTTATTGAAGTCTGTTGCCTCCCCGCTCCTCTTTCAGAGTGAAGTATATAAGCGTGTGGAAAACAAATGCGGGCAGGTTCAGTATTCACTGAATTTCCCTCCCAGTGTTGTTCTGTGTTTCTGTCTCTTATTTCTCTCATATCTCTGTTCCTTTTGCTTAATAATTCTAATCCTTTTGTTCTATTCTGGAACGTGTAAATTTTGTCGAGGCCGAACCCCAACAGATGTCACCCCAATGTGTGGCTTATGACGGGGAGACCCTGTTTCAAAAACAGAACATGAAAAGGTGCTAAGGATAAAGCAGTTGCCTGGAGTACAAAGGACCCTAGGGGAAAAAGTTGCAGAAACTGAGGAAATTGATACTTACCTTATTAGCATTTTTGAGGTGATCATAATACACTTCTTCGATGGCTTGAAAGTATATTACTCCCTTTAATTTAGCCTCATGTTTGTCTGCAAAGATATGAATGTGAAGTACTTTAGTGCCACCGATGAACGGGAAAAACCTCAGGTTCGTGATTAATTATCCTCGTTAAAATATTTATCTAACAATAAATTATCTTAGATTAATTCAGATAACCTAGGTGAGCTCCAGGGTCCAGTGGACAGCTCCAAACCCCTGCTCACACAGATGGCTCTGGTTAAATTTAGTAGGTCAGAAAATAAAAAGCCATGAATGTGGGAAGGAGTTCAGTAGAGAACAAGACAGGGTGAATACAGGAGAGATTGATAGCAATACATCTTACACATGTGTGAAACTGTCAAGGAATAAGGTTAATGTTTTCTTTATTTTAAATGCATTTGGCCATTTATTTGTTTATTTATTTATTTTGAGGCAGTGTCTCTCTACATAGCCAAGGCTGCCCTAGAACTCACTACATAGACCAGGCTAGCCTCAAGCTTACAGACCTGCCTCTCTCTCCCTGCTGAGCACTGAGTTTAAAGAACAAAACAAAATAGCCACTGAAACAACCAACCAGTCAATCACCACCACTCTGTGTCCTATTAAATGACCACTTTTGGGGGCGTAGGTATGAGGAGAAGGGAAGCAGCTGTCAGCAGTTGTTGGGAGAAACACGGGAGAGACCACCCCCTTTAGAGACCAACCAGAAAAACAACCCAGCAAAGACGCACAGACCCTCTTCTCGAGTTTTACTTCGAAACTTGATTGCACACAATGCAGTCACAAGCAGTGGTTGCTCGGGGTCTGTGTTGACTGATGGGGGGGCCTGCTTGAGTCTGATGAATGATTGGCTAGCCACACAGAGGGTCACCTTAGCTGTTGAAACAATGGCAGTACCTGCGCACATTCACAAGGAAATAGCTTCCATGCTGTGACATGAGCAGTCTGGATAACTCTGGAGTCAACTGTGTAAAAGCAGTTAGGAAGGTAACTGAGGCTTAGCTTTCTCTAACAATTCACAGTGGTAAGGGTTTTAGCTCTAGCATGGTAAGAAAATCAAATTATATGTGTGCATGTGTGCATAGGTGTGTATGTGTGTATACAATCTATAGAATCTATTTTAGGTTTACCAGTGGGAGACCGGAACACATGGCAGGAAAGAGACTTTTCATATGCAACCTTCAATGAATGTTAGTATTTTTACTGAGTAAACGCCTCCCTTTCCCCACTAATAATACAGAGCTGGCTCGTAAACGCTGGCCCAGACCACATTTAACCCAGTCTTCCCTAACGTAACTGACCAGGGGCCATAGTTGTGTATGTTTGCTTTGGCTCTTCATTGGATAATAATGTTTTAATTAATATCATGCTTGGTGGATTCCAGCCAGAGTCAGTTGAGAGAGAAGGTCAGCATAGCTTTCAAACATTTCTTGGAAAAGATCCTGCAGTTAATTCGAGGGAATACAGTAACACCATGTTTGCTCCCAACACATGTAAGATTAAAATCTGGAAACAAAAGTAAGATGCCAGTGTTCCCAGTAGGCAGACAACTGGGGAATGGCGTTTTGTTTTCAGGCCATCTCGTCATGGAGAATGCACTCTGAAAAAACATGAACTTCTCACTACACTGTGAACTGAGGGATGGGGATGGATGTGGGTGAGATACTTGAATTCACTATCTCTCTGCAGCATTAGCCATCAGCTTACAGACATCTTCCTAGGACTGTTTTCTCTAGAGGCTCTCTTGAAGAGCCAGTAAAAAGGGCAAGGTCACGCATGACAGAGGCCTAGTGCTCCTTAAACACTTTCAGCACACAAATTTGGCCATTTACCTTGATGATAAGCCAAGGGGGTGTGGCTTTTGTAGGGTCAAGGCCAGCCTGAGCTGTACCATTGTAAGTGGTGGGAGATGGATTTTTTTGCCTATGCTTGAGGGTGATTGGAAAAGGGATGGGGGTAGGGCCATGTAGAGCAGACACAGCCAATGATTGACAGCTGTGAACAGGGCCAAGACAGCATCTACCTAAGGCCGTTCCACTGCTCAGTCACTTCTGATGTGAATGCAAAAGAGCTGGTGGAATCTATTTCTTTTCAGTTTGGGTACTAGGACTTTGAATATGCCAGAAACTTGCTACTTAAAATAAAACAGAAAAATCAACTACCCAGAGTTTCAATCAGAGTTAGAAGCAGGTCTTGCATGGGTTAGAGGGAGGGAGGTTTAAAGAAGTTAGTAGGGTCCCTGAACCACACACCTGATTATGTACACAAAACTGGAAACAGGCTCACAGACCAGAAAAACATGGGGTAATGAAGATGCTTTCTCTTCGAAGGCCTTTTAATCTTCTTTGTTGGAACATTCTGAGTGAGGCTGTCTATAAATACTATGTGTTGATGGATGCTAGATTGGATTTCTTATGAAGCAGGTGTCTTTCCTATTGTACTGAGGTTGCTAATGTCAACCTTTATGAATCTGGATAAAAAGCAGGCTCCTATGAGGGCCAGGCCATTTGCTCTAACCAGCAACTTCAGAGCTAACTGGAGCCCCTCACTGAAAGGTGTGGGTCTCAGGTTGCTTCTCAACCCCAGGTCTGGGACTCCTTGGGCAATATTTCCTTTTATCCATTGGTTCTGGCTTCTCATCCCATGCTCATTGCAAATTGTGATTCTGATTATGCTCTCCTAAGTGCAATCACGGTGAACCCAAAATATGGGAATGGGGTCAACCCCTTTGCAGCTGAAGAGACTTAGACTATGCTAATGCCTGTAATGGGCATGTTTCACATTCAATGCACAAGTAAATAAGATGCTAACTCGTTTATTTCATTGCTTGTGGACAGCGTTTCTCGCTATGTAGTCCAGGCTGGCTTTAGACTCACCATTCTGTTTTCATCCCTTGAGTGATGAGACTGCAATTATGTACGACTGTGCCTCACCACAGACTCTTTTTAACCAGTTATGTTATGTTTTCATAAGATTCAGTAGAGTATGCTTCCCACAGTTAAGCATGTAGGATTTTCAAACTGCTCTCAACACTTAATGAATGTTTTCTTATTTCCTAGCTTGCTGATGAGCTATACTCTATACTTGAAAGGTCTGAGTACCTTACAAAGCACAGCTCAACGACTGGCAACTAGGGTTGCTTGACTCTGTGTAATCTAAATAGGACATATAGCAAAAAGTAAATACATAGTAGTGGGGTATTTTCTCTGGCCTCGTGGTTTAAAGGACAATAATTTAATGTAAATATACATTCCATTTAATATGTATTTGGGCTGTTATTTCAGAAATAGATTGATTCACATTTTTAAAGTCACATGATTTCTATTTGTAAAAAATGAAATTCATAACATATTCAACTGTATAAATATGGATACAAAATATAATGTATGCCTACCAAGCTTGCTTGCTTGCTTGCTTGCTTGCTTGCTTTCTTCCTTCCTTTCTCTCTCTCTCTCTCTCTTTCTTTCTTTCTTTCTTTCTTTTTCTTTCTTGTTCTCTCTCTCTTTTTCTGTTTCTTTTCTTTTTGAGACAGGGTCTCACCATGTTGCCTAGGTTAGTCTCACATTCGTGGGTTCAAATGGATCCAACTGTCTCAGCCTCGAATTTCTGGTTCAGATAATGAATTTCAATTTCCTTTTATTTTTAGTAGATTTGAATGCATTGCTTCAATTTGTTTTTATCACTCACCTGCATAATAAGAAAATGTCCGCTTATTCCGGTCAAAAACAAACCAGCGTTTCTTCCACGTTTTAATTTTTCCACCCATTTTGATGAGGTATCCTCGGCAGGTCTTCTCTGTGATTGACACATGAAAACAGGTATCAATATTGTGGCCTGCCGTCTCCACATGACTCCGCAAATCGAAGTCTTCCTTCCGGACAGGCAGATAGCGAGTCAGAGGACGAGCCTGGAAAAGAGTAAAACCCGGTTCAGCTACAGAGAACAGTTTCATTTCAGATCACATATGTTAGAGGCGAGAAGGACGGTAGAGCCGAAGTCTTATATTGCCAAGTAATTAACAAGAACCCAAGGTAAAAAAAGCACCTGTCACCTGGAGACTAAGCAGCAGACATTTAAGCAGGGCACTCCCTTAGAGAAGGGGTGCCTGAAAGCAGGCCTGTTGATTCTACTCCTCGAGAGGGGCAGAAGCGAGGATGAAAAGACCTCACAAGTGGACCATCAAAGAAGTCAGCCCAGAAGCCGTGTAGGAAGTGAGACATGCTGCCATCCAGCTGCTCCTCCCCCCACCACAACACAGTACAGTTCTAAGGTCATCCATACACGGCCTGATCGAACAGACACTGTCTGGTAGGCATGACCCCCAGAAGATCCCACGGAGTTAAGGTATATTCTTTGAAAAGAGAAGTTAAAATAAACTGAGGGTAGAATCGACCCTGGAGCTAAAGTGGGAAGCTGTATGGGAGCAGAGGCCCCAGGGAACATGCACAGATGTCTTGTTTTCCTAATGCTGAGGGCCAAGGTTCACATCATCCAGGAAGTACAGATCACCACGGATGCTGCCTCCTAATGCTCTCTCTCTCTCTTTAAAATTCTGCTAAATAATTCCATGTTTTTGCCCTGGGGAAATGATCTAATCGTATAGTTAGAGGAAAAGCTTATAATTGAGTTTAAAATAGAATTCTGCCCTTTGGTTTGACTTCAGATGTTAAACAGGCACGGATGACCTTCACTGTCTTTATGGATGACCATCAGAGTTTAGCAGAGGTCAGAGTATTGTCCAATGAAAGGATCCATTTCAGTTTCCACTTTTCCTCGGTGTTTTACCTTCCCTGTAATGCAGCTGCCACAGGCTTGCCAAAGTCCCAGTCCACATAAAATTTTAAAGACAGCAGCCAGGCGCTGAGGACCAAACGGACAGCAACTGGAGCGGATGAGGGAAATAATGCCTTTGAGTCTACTGGATGAATAACCAAGTTTGATGAAACGAATGTGAGCTTTACATGCTGCAGTATTTTTAAAATCTTTATCCTCAGGAAATATATATAACGAAGTGGCTAGAGTGAAAAGAGCAGGGATTTTAAATCTACATTGATCCAGAAAGGGAGCTAAACCAAATGATATTTTCCTAAATTTGGTTGCTTGTTAACTGAAGGAGCAGTATTATAGATTGGTATAGGAAAGGGGACATATGTGGTTAGAGAAAAAAGGGGGGGGGGAGATACTATTACCACACTAGGAAACTGGGCTGGTCCAATTTAAGTTTATCCTGTTTTGGAAAGTTTGCTTCTAGAGATTGCCTGATAGAATCTTTCCTCCATCACAGTTTTTAGTTTGCATGATAATATATATAAAATAGTATTATAAGATATGTACACACACATATATATATTTCAAGCTATCATCTATTTATACATATATATGTTTTTTTTAACATTTTTATTTGATATTTTAACCTTTAATTGTGTGTGTATGTGTATTTGTGTGTGTGTGTGTGTGTGTGTGTGTAAATATGCACTTGAGTGCTGTTCCAGAAGAGTCCATTGGGTATTGGGCCCCATGGAGCTGAAGTTATAGAAATAGACAGTTTGTGAGCTGTCGAACATGAGTGCTGGCTGGGAGCAGAACTCCTGTACTCTGGGAGAGAAAGAAGTCCTCTTAACTACTGGGCCATCTCTCTGGTCCCCAGTGTGTATTTTTAAAAACTACTCCGATAGCAATATTCAAAGCAGTACAAAACATATTCTCCTTTGAAATGCATCCAGAGAATAGATGGAGATGGACGTCTCTCTCTCTCTCTCTCTCTCTCTCTCTCTCTCTCTGAAGGGAATAGAACGTGTGAGTCGCATGTGAGTAGAGAAAAGTGTCAGTTGCTTGGCAGTTCTCTAGAAGTTCTAAAATGAACACAGCCTGCATACTAACCCACATACACCTTAACCATTCCCTTAAACACTAGGTATTCAGACAAAATGAATGTCTTCTACAAAATGACCATCAGGGGGCAACCTGCACGTATGCATCCACACTGATCCACCAACCTGTGCCCTCTGTTTTTCTCTTATTTTCACTTCTTTTTCTATTAACTTCTGCCTCTGGCTGGTTTCTTCTTGCAGTCGTTTTTCCAGGATTTCCCGGCGTCGTTTTTCTTCTTCCAGTGCTCGTTTTTTGGCTTCCATTTCTCGTTCCTAATTATCATATATAGAATTACATGACACCTACACTTGAAGGAACCAGCTAATAAATACTCAAACTCCAATTATCATTAGACAATTTTCATGTTGTATCCTAGTTTCTTAAAGTATATAGCCTGGACTAACATAAACCATGATCACCTTCTGCATAGCTCCCAAAGTCATCTATGCCAACAATTAAATACTAGTCTTCAGTGAAAATTTGGCTTGTAAGTACACGCAGGTATTTCATTCTTCCTTGCAAACTGTCCTGCAATACTAGCCATGAAGTTTAGGCTTTTCTCTGGGAGACTGTCCTGGGTGAAGGCCACAGGTCCTTCCAAATTCCTGTTATTGCTCTGTAGCTTCCTGGCTGGAGGTCACAGAGGAAGCTTTGTGGGAAGTGAAAAAGGAAAGGAGGTGCCCTCAGGGCAGGATGCAAAGGCGTTGGGGGTGGGGGTGGGGATTCCTAAGGAAGTTCTGATTCTGGCCTGAAATAAACTCACAATAACGTGGGGGTTTTGAATTTCACAATAGTGAGGTCAGCATGAGTTGGGAAGGACAAGAGGACACATAAAGAAATATCACTTTTCCAATTCCCTCAAGAAAACATCTACATGGCCACCAAGGGGGAAATGCGGTAGAAAACATCCATTATCCTTTTTGCTTTCTGCAAAAACACAGACACTCACATGAAGTTCTGGGCATAAAAGCGCAGCAAAGGGCCCTGCAGCCACCTCTCTTGCAGCTTTCCATTTGGACAGGAAAGGAGGCTGAGTGGCTACCCAAGTGCACAGTGCTCAGTCGTGGCCTTGAAGGGATGCTGCTGGCAAGTGTAGGGCTCCTCGCCCCATGCCCATCACAAGCTCCTGGCAGGAGCTCTCTGCCTTACCCTGGATTCCAGTAGCCGGGTCTTTTCTGCGTGAGCCTGTTTCAAGAGCCTCTCCATTTCTTCTATCCTGGCAATATTGGATGTGCTGGCACTGATGCAAATAAAAAAACCTTTTAAGAATATTTGCTGAAGGAGAGGAATCATGGAGGGGCATTGTGATTAAAATACATTGTATGCATATGTGAAATTCTCAAAGACTTAATTTAAGTCTTAATTCTCACACACATACATAAACACACACACACACAGAGTCAGGCTTCATGTCACAATCAAAACATACAATTTGAAGGATATTATACATGAGTCATTGATCTTAACGAGTGAATCAATTCATCTCTGAAAAATCATAGCTGAGATTGATTGATCTCAGTATAGGAGTCAAAAATGGACATGAAAGACAAGACCATTGTAAGCCGGTTAAAAGCAAAGAAGGCAAAGCTGAATCTTACAAAGTGTGCATCCAAAATGCAGCCTTCATGTCTAACAGCGACAGCCATGTGAGCGTCCCTTCAGCTCTCACATCATTGTATGAACTAGACTATCATCATGGTTTATGTAAATGATGCCTAATGTCTGAAGTCACGGTCTTCAGTTGGGGAATATGTGTTACCCTTGTAGCTTGCTGTACTTTGTATGTGTGGGCCTTTTACTTTTTAAATGATACCAATGTCAAAGTGACTTGTACAGGCGCGCTGAGTAAGGGGTGGTCAGTTTTGTTCAAAGCCTTTTTTTCTCCTGTTAATTAATGGGGAAAATGCACAAAGGGATTCAAGAACTGTAAAAGAAATGCATCTTAGAAACGGCATCACCCCAACAAGTAAAGGGAAAAAGACAAAAGAGTGTGAGCTACAAAAACAGCCAGGGACTAGGTCAGAGGTCATATATCCAGATGTTTCATTCATGGAGGGCCCTGCTGTGTCCTGCACAGTGTGTCCCTACCTTGTTTCTAGGCTCACTTGAGAATGGACAGGCTGTTTTGTTTGTCATTCATAGAAAGTGTATAAAAATAAAAGTTTGTACAAAGGGGAATACACAGAGCTTTTCAGGTTATTCGAGTACATCATATAAAGCATGACTAAATAATATATGTATGTGGACACCTCTGTGTGTGTGTGTGTGTGTGTGTGTGTGTTACATGTGTTCTGTGCATGTGTGTAGAAACCAGAGATGGTGTTCTTCAGGAGCCCTCTACCTAGCTTTCTGAGAGTCCCACACCATTCTAGAGCTGCCCAATTAGATTGGCTGACTATTTAATCCCAGGGATCTGGCTCTGCCTCTTCTTACTGGGATGTCAGACTTGTGCTGCCACACCTGGCATCTTTCTATGTATGTGTGTGTGTGTGTGCGCGTGCATGTGTGTGTGTGTGTGTGTGTGTGTGTGTGTATGAACTATCTATCTACCTATCTATCATCTCTATCTTCATCCATCCATCCATCCATTCATGTTATAGGGATCAAATTCAAATCCCAGTGTTGTATGACAAGTACTACATCTATCCAGGCCAGTAATAACCTCTGAGTCACAGTCTCACTATGTAGCCCAGTCTGGCCTGGAACTCACCAACTTCCTACCTTGACTTTTTTTTTTTTAAAAAAAATTATTTATTTATGTATGTATGTATTTATTATGTATACAATATTCTGTCTGTGTGTATGTCTGCAGGCCAGAAGATGGCACCAGACCTCATTACAGATCGTTGTGAGCCACCATGTGGTTGCCGGGAATTGAACTAAGGACCTTTGGAAGAGCAGGCAATTCTCTTAACCACTGAGCCATCTCTCCAGCCCCCTACCTTGACTTTTAAGAACTGGGATTTACAGGTGTGAGACACCACATCTAGCCTCCTCAACTATTTTTGGCAAAAATCAAACATAAGATGGCTCCTATTCTGAAGAGATGAAGGACCCTAGTTACCCAGAGCAGCTTATCTTTTCAAAACTGCCAGTCCCACTAGGAGCAGACAAGGGAGTGGGAACTGCCTAAGGGACATTGGAACCTTACAGGCCTAACAACCGGGTGCGGTATGTGTTGGGGCCAATTTTTACCCAGGTACTCAGGTGCTTTACCCTGAGAAGAATACAATGACTTTATTTTTTTCTTTTCTTTTTTTTTCCTTTTACTATTCTTTCCAACAGCTGTTGGTCAAAATACAAAAGTATAAGTTGCTAACTTATAGATGGAAAGGGAACAAACATGACTGACCCAACTGAGAAGGCTGAGGATGTTACGTGCCGCAGGCCATACAAGAGCATACAAATATATGCATATTCTGTGCTGCCTTCCATGATGACACTTGTATGACTATGTCGCAAATAAATAAATCACAGTTCTTCAACCCGCCCACCCTCACTAAAAAATTAGGACTGGGGCTATAGCTAAATGGTAGAGCACTTGCCTAGGGTACATGAAGCTGTGGGTTTCATACTCAGCATCACACACACACACACCCACACACACACACACACACATATACCTATACACAAAAGAAACTTACCATAACTGACCTCACTTGTCACATTTTATACAATTGATATTCATTTAGATTTTATTATTGTTTTTGTTTGTTTACTTGTCTTGTCTTGTTTTCAGCTTTATCAAGTATGAGTCTAACTGACAAGTATACATATTTATGGTATAAAATGTGATATCATATTTGCATATATTGTAAAATGATTACAAAAATCAAACTCATTAACATATTCATCATTTCACATAGTTATTTGTGTGTGTGTTTGGTGAGACACATCTGTCCCTTTGATCTCTGTATGACAATATTCCTGCAGAGTTACCATTTCTGGTACGTCATTGTGCCTATTACTATGGACAGTCCTATTACTGTCCATAGCTGTTTTACCCAGGACTGGTCGGTCCTATTGTGCTGGCAGTTGCAGATAGCTTCTGCTCATGGTCAGATATCACTAAGGACTTAACTCAAAATGTCAAGAAAAAAAGATGAACCTAAAGTAGAAAATACCAACAAAAGTAGAGTCCTGCTCCAATGCCAATAACTACCTCAAAAGTACATCTTATGGGCTGGATGGATGGCTTACCGGTTAAGAGCTTGTTTTACCCCTCCAGAAGACCTGGGTTAAATTCCCAACACCTATCTTGACTATATGTAGTAGCTGTCTGTAACTAATTAACTGCGTATAGGCCTGCCAGTAACTCCAAAGTATCTGATGCCCCCTTCTGGCCTCCAAAGGAGTCAGGCACACATAGAGTACTGATAGATATGCAGGGAAAAACACTCATACTCATAAAATAAAAATAAATCTGAAAATTGTAAAAAGCATATTGTATTAAGGTAAGCTTTTACTCCTTATGCTGGAAGACACCATGATGAAGTCCACAGAACAAGGTAGTACAGAGACTATCTGGAAGGTGTTCTGTGAGGCAGGCCTCAGAGTCGTCTTGAAGCTGGTACACACAAGCGAGGACTAAAAGCAAAATTTGCTGTGCTGAGGATTTTTTTAAACTATGCATTAGAATATCCCAAAATTATACGTCTATTAAAGAAGTAATTCCATTCTGAAATTCTAGTGACACAAGCTTGGTTTTGTGGTTTATTATGTCACAAAAAGCCATGTGTAGAGTGAGAGAGTTACTCAGTTGTGGGTGCCTTTGCCTTCTCTTTCTGTTGAAACATCATTTTCATGACTACCAGAACATGACTGGAGCTGGCATTGGCTTTGCTCTTTCTTTAGACTGTCAATAAACACAAGGGTCAGAAAAAACAGGTCTCTACTGTTGCACTGTATGTTTTATATCTAATTATAATATACATTGTGTCTCAAACTGATGAGTTTATGTTTGAAACCGGGAGGTGGTTTTCATCAAGCCTTACCTAGAGATATTGTCTGGTGAACAGGCAGAAATGCTGGTCTCCATGCTATCCGAGCTGTCCAGGCTCAACGTGTCATAGGCCTGGTCCTTGTAGCTGTGATCTGGGTAATGGAAACTATTCAAGTAGACATTTGACTCAGATGCTGTGCGGCTGTAAAATTCAGGTTTCTGTCTTTGTCCTTCACTCATCTGTTGGTGATTATAACCTAAGGAGAAAGCCATAAATATGTAAATATGTCTCATTTATCAAGCTCAGAATCCCACAACTCTACAGACTCAAGCCAGCAACAAGAAACATCTGCATGTGAAATCTGGACCCTGGCCTAAAATAGTCTGAAGTCAAGAAGATCAAAGAAACAATGTCATGCCCAGTTTGAGCAAGAATTTGAAAGAAGTGATCATGTGAGGGATTTTATTTGTCAGTGGGATCACTTGGCACTTCTTAAATCCCATCCCTACAACTCAGCAGAGCTGATAGCAATACATCAGGCCATTAAAAGACATACACACATATGCATGCACACACATGCACACACACATGCATGCACAATCCCCAGAAACAGAAGCACAGTTAAGGGCATGCACACACACATGCATGCACAATCCCCAGAAACAGAAGCACAGTTAAGGGCTCAGAATCCTCTAGAAATAACTGTGTTTAAATGAAGGCAACATGATGCCCAGTGCAATGTCAGCGTTATAGGACAGTCACTCCTGCAACTACATTCAGATTTTAGGAACATTCAGAAAACAGCAAGTGGATTTTGCAGGTGTAAGGGTTGAGAAATGTGTGTTTTTCAGAGTGTCTATAATGTTTTCATCTGTTTCAGATGCAATCGGCATTTGTCTCTTTCATAGTCTTTCTCTCTTTCTCTCTGCCGTTTGTTCTCTCTTTCTCTTCCTCCAATCTCTCTTGTCTGCCAATTATTTATTTAAAATACTCAGGGTCAGTAATCCTTCCGATGGACAGGCTCCTTCTTGCTATGCTGCTTTCCTTTCCCCACGTTAACAGTCAGCCCTTAGCTAACTGCTGCTAACTATTTGAAAATGTGAGTGTCAACAGGATCAAAAGCACCACAAATGAAAGGCATTTTCTTTCCCCTTGTACTCTGACAGCTGGCATATGAGGTCATTGCCTTACCAGGAGTTATTGCTATAGCTACCTTTGTGTATTAAACACTACACTATCTTCAATTCTCTGCCGTACATACACAGGAAGCAGGGACAGAACTGAAAAATCCCCAAGTTCATCAAAATGTTTTCCCATCGTTTAATCTCTTTTTCTGATAAGAGAAAAATCTCTTTCCCATTAACCAGAGATTTAACAGCAGGCCTATTAAGAGTTTACAAGACCACTTGGTATGGCATCTTTTCCTTGGAACTACTTTTCAATGAGGATTTTAATTAAGAGGGGAAAAAGTGCCCTAAAGGAGACAAAAAGAAATAAAACAACAATACCACCACCACCAACAAAAACCCATAAAATAAACCAAACAAAACAGCTTCCATAACTACTGACCTACATTTGTTTAGAAATTGAAGCCTCACTCATGATGCCTTAATAAAGTATCATCTATTCAAAGGCTCTATAAAATTTATGAGTGACAGGCGTATTTCTGTGCCCTTTGTATTTTTATGGTTCCGGAGGCCTATGGGAAACTGTGCTATTCAAACGGATATATCTCTAGGAAAATGAGATTTCTGCACCCAATCTGCTGTTATAAATGACAGACACTTATCAGGGACCTAGGGAAAGAGGTAAAGCTCAGAGGCACACTGGGAAGCAGACAGAACACCCTTACAGCAGTGATCAGTGCACACAGCGCCACAAAGCCAGGCATTCCTAGTGTGCCCTCTGTGTCACTGTTTAAAAGAAAGGCAAGGAAGTCATCACTCAGATATTTACCTTTTACACTTGAAGTTTTGGAATTATTAATTGTTCCTTTTACATCATTTCCAGATATTCATTAGGAAAGGAAGGGAAAAATGACAAGAGAAATTATTTGAAAAGGCTACACGCAATTATTTCCTTATGGCTTTCAGACAATGCTGAAGCACAGGAAGCCTTCACGCTGGTATCAGCGACATGGAAGACAGGTCCTTCAAAGACATTCGTGTAAGTTAGAGCATATGCGACTTATATCCCTGGCTGGGACTTCTATCCCAACCCCTCCTCCCACCCTCTCACAAAGAGCTTTCTTCAGTGAGGAAAAGTCAATCTGGAGGAGAAATTAACACATTCTGGGGACAGAAAAAAAAAGGAAGGGCTCCTTCTCATGAAGAAGCAATCCATGGCTTGCCTCTCCAGGCTTCCAGAATTCTGGGTTTTGTTTTGTTTTCTTCAGAAATATCACAGATTAAGACAATGAGTTTATAGCTTCAGGTGAGAGAGGCAGGAAACTAAAACACCCAGAGTTTTCAGGCATGTGCACAAGGAACAACTACACTACAATGTAAACCGCCCTGTGGCTCAGGGACCTCAGCTCCCCCGACCAACTCCAAATTTGCCGAGTTTTGCTGTGTGCAGAGGGCTACCCAGTCATTCCAATAGCAGAATAAGGGTCTTAACGTTCTACAGCAGCTTGAATGACAAAGCCTCTGGGTAATGATACCGTTTCCAGTCTGAACAGGAGGTTCACTTCACCAAGCTACCCAACACTGCCAATGGGCAAGAGTTGTTGTTCCCTTACAACTGTCAACCTGAGATGGCGTTCTCCATCAGACAATTTTCAAAAATAATACTCCCACCATTACAAATAAGGGCCTGGCTGTGGTGTGGTGGGTGTGTACCTGTAACCACGGCACTCAAGAGGCCAAGGCAGTACAATTATTGTGAGTTCCAGTTCAACCTGGGATAAATAACAAGATTTTTTTTTTTTAAGTAAAGGAAACAAATGAGTCCATAAACGAGAGCATAGATCTCTCCCTTGTAATCTTAAAATTGCATGCGAGGGGACTGGTTTGGGGACTGGAGCTCCAATCTGATCATCCAAAGGAATGGGTACTTTTTGTAGAGGAAACCAGAGCAGAACGGAGTTTGCAGAGCTTGAGAGAGTGGCAGCCCAGGACTTCCGGGGCAAGAGAGGCAGGCGAGCAGCCGCAAACTGGCCTGCGCTTCCACTCGGGGAGGCTCTGTGAGGGAGATGGGGTGTCCTGCTCACAGTAGAGCGCCTGCTTACATATCCCGAAGACATCACAAGACTGACACTGAATGAATTCACCTTTCATCTCTGAACTCCAGCTATCTGAGCACTCAGACCAAGCAGGAACTCATCTCCTTTTGGGGGTGGAGAAAGGGAGCTAACTTAGGAAACTCGAGAGGTTCTCAACCCAAGTCCATTTGGTTTTGTGGTTGCTTTTTTCAGTTATATAGCAAGGACAATGTTCGGGAATGAGAAGAGTTTTAAAAAAAAACCAAAAATAAAAACAAAGGCTCTTGAATGTACTGTGTGGAGAGGTAGCTCTAAGGTCTGCAAAGCAAGAAGCCATACCTAGGATTGTTCCATAGCACAGAGTGGACCAGGAAACAACTACCGCAACCCTCTTCCTTGCTCAGGAAAGTCATCAGATTGGAGCACAAAGACCAGTCATTTTTCTTATTTTTAATGCTAATTTCAATGAATTCTGGCTATTGGTGCTCAAAGTTCTCTTGTGAATTAACCACATGGGATATGTAGTTCTCCTAACATATTTCAAACCCATATGATACACCTTTATGGCTGTATCTTAATGTGGAAACCAGGATGATTTACGATTACAACCAGGGCTTAAGATGGAATAGTGTGTGCTTCTGACAAGGTCCCAGTCACAGCTCACCTGATGAGGAATTCATTCTTCCTAATGACAGTCCACAGCCAGAAGAATGGACAAGTCAGGAGGGGAGGGAGGGAAAGGCAGAGAAAGGGAAAGATACAGGATCAGAAAGGCTGACATGAGAATGGGGAACTGTCCACCCCAACATGCACTCATAGACATATTAGTAATAACAGCACATGAACATAAATGGTAGTTACATTTTACATTCAATATAAGATTAGAGAGAAAAACTGAAGATTTTTAAAAAGGCTCCTGAGACATGCGTAGTTAGAAAAAAAAAGAGATTTGCTACAAAAGAAAAAAATCTTATACAAATATTCACCAATCAGAAAATAGTAATGATAATAATAATAATAAACAAGATTATATTTATAAAATCATTTTTTCTCAAGCAGACAGTTTCAAATAGTATTCAAGAACTTAGGGTAAAATTTCCGATTCTAGCAGCTAGAGAGGTGGCTCGGTAGTTAAGAGCATTGGCTGCTCTTAAAAGGGACCTGGGTTCCATTCCTAAAGCCCACATGGCTATTCACAACTTTCTGTAACTCCAGATCGAGGAGTTATGCCCTCTTCTGGAATCCTTGGGCACGAGGCCCACATATGATGCACAAGAATACATGCAGGCAAAAGACCCATACACATAAATATAATTAGATCAACCCAAATTTGAGATGCCATTCAGTTATTGGATGCACAGCCCATGAAACTTTATAACAAGTTCTTTCTTATGCTGTGTCTTGCTCCCTAACCTCACCAGTAGCCAGCCATCTTACTTATTCAAGCCAGATGTCTACGCTTTTCTTCACCCTCCAAAGTCTTTCTTACCAAACAAGCTAAAGTGAAACAAACACACCAGAGTTTCCCAAACCCACTTGCCTGTGTGTCCACCTGGCCTCTTATAAGGAGAGGTTTTGTGCTGAGCCTGCACACATTCGATGCCCACTCTTGTCTCTAAGTAGCCCCTCCAATGATTGTCAGGTTACAATGACCCTTACAAATGAATGCTTTCACAGCATCTGTGTCTCCTGCATGGTCTGAACTTGTTATAAAAGCCCCAACAAAAAGTCATGCAGCTGCCTTTGCAGGAGCAGCAGCTGCCATGAGCATTGTGTTCCTTAAGAATGTTCAGCATTTCCCCCTATTGGATAAAAGGAACAATCAGGCTAACCATCCACCATCGTAGACCTCAAAATCTGAGCAAGTCAAAAAGATGACTTGACAGTGACCTTTCCGTATTTGCTGGAAACAAAAATACCACACAAGGAGGTTGTCATACCTTTCTTGGGCTTTCCTGCATTTAAAAAAAAAAAGGAAGAAAAAAAGGATACAAGTTTCATTTGTTCTAAAGTTTACAAAGAACAGTTGACAAGCTGTATAAAAAAAAAGCCAACGACCTCTACAACTTCAGGAACCCAGGTCCTCAGCTCTCGCCTTTTCTTTTGAACTCTGTTCCTTTCAATGTTCCTGGACTCACATTGTCAGTGCTCTGAGAACAGTACTGATTGAAAAAGGCTTATACTTACACCATCGTCCTTGATATATCCATTATGAATAGCAGCAAAAGAATGGTGCACTTTAGTTAATTGTGTACATCAAAAGTAAATGATGAAGGCTACTAAATTTGACATAATGAAAACATAGTAGATACAAATTTGTCCAGGCTGCAATTTTAATCGCATTTGCTATTTAAATGCCATCAACAAGTGCTGTGGAAACAATTCTAAACGAATACATGATTCACCCCTCCTGGTCTCTCTGAGACACCCATATGGGCTTTTTGTAAACTCCTGCCAATTTTTACCATCTGCTGTGGCTTGAAGAAATCTCATCCCTGGCCATTCCTTAGAAGAGCAGGCTGAGTTCCCAGAGAACTAGGATCAGCACATAGGACAGTATAGCTCCTTCAGCACCATCCCATCAGAGTCTCATGAAGCTCTAAGCAGGACACTACTTCAGAAGTGCAGTAAAGTCTGAAGCTACAGTCTTCTCAAGTGTGCAAAAGTCATGGCAAAGGAGAACAAGAACACCAAAGATAAACCAGATAGTAGACTTTTCAGAGCCTACGCCTGTAATATGACTCAGAGGGTTGACTTAGGTTCTCTTTACTAAGCCATCCCATTAGTTAAGGGAAATGCAGATTAGAAAAGTAGATCAGAAATTTCCTAGCTTCATCACCTTCTCACAAGAACCTGGATGCATGACACTGCAAACAACTCTCAATTTCGTGGATCTACTCATTTAGTACAAAACCCAGCTTTCTATGCTCTCTATATATGTATATTATACATATATAATAATAGGTATATATTATACATGCACCTATTTTTTTCTTGGTACTGTGTTATGGAATATTAGTTTAAGATGTATTACATTCATTTATGCTGTGGAATATTTGTTTAATGATGCAAAGATGTGTTGCATTCTTTTATGTTGCATTTGTTTAACTCTGTGAAGCTGTGTTATGTTGTCTGCCTAAAACATCTGATTGGTCTACTAAAGAACTGAACGGCCAATAGCTAGGCAGGAGAGGGATAGGTAGGACTGCCAGGCAGGGAGAATAGAGAAAAGGAGAAAGAGAGAAGAAACAAGAAAAGGAGGAGAGAAGGATGATGGGCCAGCCACTCAGTCACACAGTCAGACATGGAATAAGAAGGAAAGAAAAGATAGACAGAAACAGAAAAAGATAAAAGCCCAGAGGCAAGAGGTAGACAGGATAATTTAAGAAAAGCTGTCTAGAAATAAGCCAGGCTAAGGCAGGGCATTCATAAGAATAAGCTACATGTGCTTATTAGGGAGCTGGGTGGTGGACCCCCAAAGAGCAAAGAGCTAATAGTAGAAAAAAACTACTACAGAACTGGGAATAGTAATTTCTGATCCCGCTTCCCTCTCCTAGAGTTCCACCTTTCCCTAAGTCACTGGAATACTGAGAGCTCATGCATTTACAAGATGGAAAGTTCATGAATATGCAGAAAGGTCTCAGTCGCACAGCCAAGTCAAGCTTGGATTCCTTCCACTAGAGTGGGATACACATTTTTAAGGGCAGCCTATTAATATTACAGAAAAAATGGTTCAACAGAAAACAGAATTGACCTTCAAGTTAACAGAAATGAGTTGGAGCTAAAATAGACTTCAATGCTTATTGTGAATACTAAGAAATATTTTTATCGTCTTAAGAAATTATAATAAATAAGACAGAAGTCTAATCAAGTATATTTCATTTAAATAGTACTAATATAAACCTCAAATGAACACGATAGCCTGCCTCAACCCTTTTTGGCTACCTAGCCCAGATTGACCTTGAATTCTGAACCCTCCTGCTCCCCCTCAAATGGGGAGATTACAGGTATATGTCACTTTGTCCAGCTTTATTAACTCCTTCTTGTGAGACAACATCTCACTGTGTAGTTCAGGCTGACCACCAATTTGTGATCCTCCTGTCTCAGTCTCCTGAGTGCTAGAAATACAGGTGTTTACTACCCAAATGTTTGCTCCATTAATTAAATGACTTCTAATACTGTTTTAAAACCTCATTTTAGTAATATACATATCATACACATTGTTTATATAAGCATATACATACATATATATGTATATGTAGTATGGATGTGTATGTATGTATGTGTGTATGATGTATTATACCCTAATACCATCAGCAGAGAAGCCGATCAATCAGAATTCAAATTTTTTTTAAGGATAGTATGGGGAGGGAATTTTTCAGTGGGTACTGGAAATTCATCCACGTTTAAACAGTTTCCAACTGTTTAAAATACCCCTGACCCCAAAAGGTAGGAGTCAGAATTCAATTTTAATTCACATAAAGGGCAAGATTTCAATCCATCAATTCACAAATGCATTTGATGGTCAGATGTCTGCCAGCTTCCCTGTTGATATCGTCAACAGACCTCCAGCATTGTGTTTGACATTGTATTAACATCCGTAACATGTCTCCCTCCCTTCTCTGTAGATCCCACACATTTCAAAGTTAAATACTATACCATTCATTTGCATTCTTGGTATCTAGGACAAATCCACTGAAGAACTAAAGCTAATATAATTTATTGATATGAACTACTGTACTAGCAAGAGTAACTCTATTTCAGTAAGTCTTGCATCTGGAATGACATTTAGCAACTTCTTTCAGTCTCCCTTAAATACTATCTGATAACCAAATTACACATGTAATATGTTGTTTCAAAGAACTCATACTAAAACCTAAATATACAGTCGAAGTGCTTAAGCTTATAACCAAAAGGCTCAAAGAAATTCTCTTCTGGGCCCATTAACATGTCAATCCACTGACTCAAGTGAGGGGTCATTTAGCATAGTGTGCCAGCCACAGACGAGACTGCTAGTCTTGGTTAAGTGCCCTGGAAATTTCTCAACATTTCAGTGATTTCCCTTTTCTTTCTCTCAGTCAAATGGGAAGGTTAGTATTTCTTTCAAGGCCTTTCCAGTATGGAAGTTTGACTGAATTTGTATAAGCAGGTGTGCAAACAGGGAAGTGTTACCTTATTACAAAGATGATGTCACACACATCCTTCCCCAAGGGCAACATACCAATATTAAAATTTAGGACATGGTTGATCTTCCCTCTACCATCCCCAACTTTGTTCTCATCGCCTCTCCCTGGGGGAATTCTCAGGCTTCAAAGAAGACCATGACATGTGATTTAAAGACCACATACCTCTGAGCATCCTCCGAGACTCTGAATCCTTCGTCATGGTTGCCAGCGAGTGGGGGAGCACACTGCCACAGCTGTTGCTTTGCCCCAGAGGCAGGTGGGCCTAAGAGAAGCAGGGGGAACACTTCAGGCAAGGTAAACTGAAGCTCAAGTGGTACTCCAGGACGCGGGCACACTCCTGGTTTCAACCTCCTCTCTAAGGGCAAAGGGCCGAGATGGTTGGTCTTAAGTTCTAATTCTTGATGCCAAGTGGTAAAGGCTAGTCACCCACTGTCACTCTTAAGAAACTCTACTGCGGACTCAGTATCAACAGCACGTCCTCTGATGGCAACAATTCCGAAAGAGAAGATGGGCAGAGAAAGACACTGTCCACAGCCTCGTGAGAGCGACAGAAAGCTCCTCATGCAGAAGGTGCAGAGGGCAGGTGCACGGACAGGATGCATGCACACCATGCAAAACCGCAGAGACCAGCCATCCGTGCCCAGATGTTCCAGTTTCTCTCTACACTTAGCTATGCTGAAACCCAGTAAGATCCACTGGCTTTAGCAAGCTTTATTGGTTCTTTGTTTGTTTGAGAAAGGGTCTGACTCTGAAGGCCAGGCAGGCTTCAAACTTGTACCGACCTCCTGCTTCAGCCTCCGGAGTGCGGGATTGCAGATGCACATCAGCATGCACCGCTCTTATTCATTGAAATTGCTAAATCCTTCAGGTGAATAATGTCCATTGAAAACACCAACTTGTAAAATAGATTACAATAAAGTTACTCTAAATATGGTTATGAGAAGGACTGAAAGTCTACTCCACCAAAAGCTTCCCTTCTATTCCTCCCTCTTTTTCTCTCTCCGCCCCCCATTTCTATAATAACCCCCTGAGCACGCCAGCAGAGGGTGCATGTGTCAGGCCACCAGATTTCATATTCTGACTCCTCCAGTTTCCAGCTGAGGGGTCTTGGGCTGTCACTTAGCTTCTCCTTCCACGGTTTACCCACTACTAGGGTAGCGACGAGTAAGCACTTACATAGTGGTGCTAGGGTCACACAAAGGACTAAGCCTGGTACCAGGCATGCAGATGCCACCTGGTAACTATTGAGTACTGTTTTTCCTGAAGCACAGGATCTCTGTGCTGGGTACAGTCAGAGAATATCTGTCCTGTGAGTACAGAGTACAGTACCCACCACCTGTACTGTGGTGGCTGGAAATACACTCTTGAGTCTAGAATGTGTAATTCCAAATACCCTCAGAAAGGGACAGAAGAAGCAATTTGGTTACCATATCTGCCCAATAAGCAAATGTAATGGCACAGTATTCAGTTATTTTTGCATTTCAAAGGCTCTGCCTTTGTTGGCGACTATAACAGATGTTACACAGAGAGAAGGCCTTGGCTCTTCTGAGTCCTACCTTCGGGGTGCTGCTTCTCCCCATGGTGGCACTGCTGAAGTGTGGGGAGACGGAAGGAGTGGTTTTCTTTCGAGGCAAAGTGTCACTCAGATAGAGACCTTCTTTGTGCTGCTTTTTTCTTTCTTCCAGACTTCTAAAGTGCTTTAAATGCAAATGCAAAGCAGAACAGCAAAACTTGACTGACTGACACACATCACTGACACAGCGAAGAAGCAAGGCACTCAGAGGAGCTTTGGAAGTTGGATTTTGAAGTTTCTTTTACACTGACAGATTAGAGTTAGCTTTTGATGTGACTAGACAATGGAAATTACTTATTTATGCACCATGGTATTTTTCTTTAAGAAAATCCACCTTTTACTTCTATAGTGCTGTTTACAAATTGCCAGAATGGTCACCACTGCTGTGATGGGCCCACTGGGTAGATAGAGGAACAGCAGGTGGACAAAGCGAGCTAGCGATTCCCCACTTCCTGTATCTATCTAGAGAGTTCTGTGTGGTCACACAGACCCCAGTGAGGGGGACAGGAAGTAGGAAACAGAAGAGAATGAAGAGAATGGGCAATAACAGGAAAGCTGATGTAGAATAGTAACCCCACAATCATATATACTCCAAACCCAACATGAGGTTTTCACAGATGCCTGCCATCTAACTTACTTCCATGTTAAAACCTCATGGCCAAGGAGATTCCATAGTAATGTCTCATATTTAAATGCTCCAAAAGACTACATCTTTCTTTCTTCAGTCAGATTTCTAAGGCAAGATTTTTACCATCTTAAAACATCCAAATTTTGCTTGATCTCTCTACACTCCCCGAAATGAGTTCATAATAAAGTGTCCTTTGGACAGATCACTTTAGTGCTAATCTCTGCCTTTTGAAATACATAAAAACTAACGCATGCCAGTGATGACTTGGATTTTAACTTTATAATAATATATTTTCAATAGCTAGGATTTAGTCACAGCTTCCTCCAAATTGCTGGGTTTGATGCTCCACATTCATGATCTCATTCGGCTCTTGTAACAATCCTGTGAGGTTGGTGCTCTGTCTCTGTTTCATCAGTGAGGAATCTGGGGTGCAGAGACATTCAGTAAGTTTGCCTGAGGTCCTGCAGCTAGAAGGTGGCAGAGTTGGAATTCATGGTCAGAGACCTCACGTCACCATGATACAACCTCAGTGTGTGCATGATTAGTTTCTGATTGCAGTTAGAAAGCAGAATCAGAAAACTTTGTTTTCACTGTAAGCAAATGGAATAAATTCCTAGGCTTTGGTTTTCAGAATTTAATAAACTAAACAATACCCTCCATTGAAATTGATCTGTTAATACTGGGCATAAGGCAACAGATTTGAAAACTGATTGCTTTGCCACCAAAGGTGTTGTCTGTTCTGAATGAAGCTGTTAATAAGACTACCATCACATTAAAATGAAAGGTATGTAATGCTTTCATTCTCCAAGTTCGTCAGTTGTTTGACTCAGCTATTTTGTCGGTTTCCTTTTACATCAGTACAGGTGGCAGCAGCAGGAGACACAGGCTCTTCGCAAAGGTACCAAGTCTAAGATGGACATAAATCCTCTTCTACAGGATCGGTAGATGGACAGAGGGAGAGTTGTAAAGTGCTTAGCAAATCTGGACACAGCACTGGAATGAATGACATCTAGCTTTGTGGCTTCAATAGTGTATAATAAAAAATGTTGTATTGTCACAACTTTTTAACGCCATGAATAGAAATACTTGTCAGCACATTGAGAAATATGTGCAACAAGCCACACTATTTTGTTGAATGGGAGCTGAAAAGCACAATGATATCAAACAGATCGAAGTTTTATTAGCCCCAGCACCCTTAGCCCACACTAAATATCCTTAAAAAGACAGTAAGAAAAATGCTCTGCAGCGCCTTTTGAAAAATCAGCCCTGGAAATGATGAAGGGACACCATGTAAGTGATGTTGTTACCAAGGTGAAATCCCCATGCCCTGTCCACCTTTCTAGTTACCTGTTGCTCCAGCTGCTGTTGCCTTCTGTGTTTCTTAGCTGGCAGAGGAGGAGGTGTGTCATTTAAAGGGAAAGGATCGACAGATGTAGCCATGACTTCAGGCCAAGGGGCTGATGAAGGTTGAGTGACAGGATGAAGAGAAAGGGTGGAAGGAAACAGAAATCCAGAACAGACGGCAGCTCTTTGCTTTAGAGGAGAAAGAAGAGGGATACACAGGCCAGTATGAGATGAGAGGACGGAAGAGACAGAGGCACAAAACCTGTAATCTCTTTGCTTGGATTTGCTGTACACTGATCACAAAATCACAAATGATGAGCACCATCTTTCCATTTACCCTCCTGCTAAAATCCTACACCACAGGCCATGTGATCAGTAGAAGGAATTTAGGCTGCACTTCACTGGCTACTCCCAGGAACGCTTAACATAAAATGTTATGCTTAAAAAAGCATAACAATTAAAGCGCGATTCAATGTTGCCAAGCAAAATAGACCACAAAACCCATCTGAGAAAGGGGATTCAAAGCAATGAGTTTGAATCTACTTAAAATTAGATTTGGTTAGATTGCTAAGACATTGACCTTACTTATTGGCAGTTATGTCTAGTCCCCACTATTACCACACATTTTATGGTTTCTAACATTTTTTTTTGGTGTAGAACAGTGTTCTCCCATCCCCCCCCCAAATATGGTCTAATTCATAAACTCAGCATCATTCTGGCCCTCTGGAGCACATATACTCGTTTTGCTTACTTTCAGTGAACTGTGTGTTAATTTCTGACATGAGAAAAAGCAGTGAATGAATGAAACACATGCCCACACACCTCTGGACTCTGGGGCTGGCTCACCAGCACAGCCGAGGCAGGCTCAGTGACAGCAGCGTCAGCATCAGCAGGGAACTGAGTGGAAGGGGATAGATTCGTGGAATTGCCACATGGCTCATTAATCTCATTTACACTGATATAGCCCTAAAAGGAGGAATTCAGAAGTTAAACACAAGGGAAGCAAAAGCTGAGGCATGCGAGAGTATTAATGTTCCCAGTACAATGAGTTAGCTGAGCGCAACACAGCCGGGTACCTGGGCACCACGCAATGTCTCATTAAGTGAATGATCAGCAATGAAAATGGATTTGCAGTGCTCAATCTTGTAAACTGTCATTCAAAGTATTAAACATAATTTCCGGTGAAATCGAGATGACCATACGATAAATGTCCAGAGGTCTCAGCACAATTCTGTCGATGGAATGACATTATCTCTACACATGTATTGAACAATCAGATACACAATAGACGATGTGATCACTCACTCTCTGATTCACGAGTCTTTTCCACAAAATATGCATGATCTCTCTTTTCTGTCTTTGGAAAATTACAATGTCAGATTAAGGGGGCTGATGGACTACTGAGTTTTATATCAAGAAAACATTTATAAAAATAGCAACTTAGCTTTAGTGGGATTTAGTTTTGGGTATTTCAGTCCAGGAAGAATGAGAAGGATGACACTCTTAAGACTCATGTGTGTAGACACAGACCTCGGGCAGAGTTGCAGTCTACCACTGAGTGGTGTTACCACTCAAGGTAATTCCCCCAACTCAGGCTCTTGTTGCTAGGACAGAGAAGTTCCAGTTGTTCTGAACTCAGTAACCCAGTTTCGTCAGTAGCTTAAAGAAAATGCCCCTGAATCAAAATCTTTGAATCAAAACTCCTAACGTATCTTTGTGGAAAAGGCACTTAAAATGATTTTCATGGGAAGCAATTACACAAGTCAATCAAGATTTTTGCCACACCAATGAAACATATGAGGGAAAGAATAAAGCATATAAAATAATAGTCTTTTGAAAGTGAAAGTGCGTTCAGTCTGGCCTTGTGGTTCCATTTTTAGACCATTAATGATGGAAACACCAGTAAAGCGACTCTATGCAGCAAAACCTCTAGCTGGAAATGAAAGGCTGCATGGACAACCCATCATTACAGCACAGCAGAGAAAGCGGGGCACAAGTGCGGTCGACCAATGTCCTAAAGTCTTACACAGCAGAAAGGGACACAGGTACTAGGTGATGCAATTCAGCTGAAGGAAGGAAGGGCTGAATTTGGCTGACCAGTTTCGTTTTGTCTGTGGTAATGGATCAGAAAGTAAGTTAACATCTTTGAGTTATTCTTTAGTTCGTCTGATAGAAAGCTTTTAAGTCAGGCTTTGAAATTTCCTTTTATGAGTCTTAGACCATATAGTTTAATTGCTTCAAAAAGCTTTCTCTGACAGATGTGGGTGCTCTGCAAAGAATCTGGTTATAAACTGATCACTCTTCAGAAGGAGGCTGGGGGAGAAAAGAGAGAAGGGGAAGTTGAAAGCAAGAAGATTGGGAATCGGGAAGTCAAAACATTTTACAAGTCAAGTCTTCTTGTTACATGTTAAGAACGTGCAGATACTAGACAGATGTGGTAGAGACACATGAATAGCCAAAAAGTCAATAGATCTCTGACACCCAGGAGTCTTCAGAAAAAGCAAAGACCAACTCATCAACAGGACAGGAAAGATTTTAGCCTATCTGGGGACAGACAGAAAGCACAAAAGACCCATGTGATCCATTTGCTACCATAGCCCTCCCTCCTAAGTATGCTTAGGGTCAACCTCTGAGTTGCCCTATAACCTGCTCTTTCTTCATCTTCAGTTACCCCGGCAAGAAGTATTAGTCATTCACCTCACCTGCAAATTGGGAACATGAATTTTTCTTGAATGTTTCTTTGTTGTCTCACCATAAAACTCAATGTATCAGCAAGAACGTTCAACTCTATTTGTAAAATACATATGAATCCAATCTATTTTCCATCTCACTGCCATTGCTGGAATCTAAGCTCTGGCCTGGACCACTGTTTCTGACCCAGTGGTTTCTGAGTGACTCAGATGACCTTTACAAATGGCTATCAAATAATGTCGTCTCTCTACTTAAAATCATTTAGTGGCTTCCTAGAACACGCATACAAGCTGTGTTTCATTAACACAGCTCATAAGGCCTACCTCATACCTCAGTGATCTTATCTTCTGCCTGTAGGTTTCATTCCCAGCCACATTCACCTCACTGACCTTGCCAGTTATATATTCTCAATAATGAAAACTATGAAATGGTATGACCTAAAAAAATCTGCTATAAAAATATTTTTCAAATGCTTCTAAGATACAAACATGGTCACACTTATTGTGATGAACATTTGATTTCATATATCTTCGCATGGATGAATAAGTGTGCATGCAGATGCACACATACACAGTTTTCTAGCTACGAATTCCCCACTCTGCTTTCTTATAAGTAAAAGCATTCTTTCTTTTGGTTAGGCAAATTTTTAAGGTAGCAACAACCTTTTCCCCTAGTTTATAAGTCATTATAGAAAAGTGACTTTATTACTGGCATCATTCTTTTCCAAAGCAGAGTGAAAATATATCTCAGTGTAGCTCTGGGAGAGACTATCTGGGCAAGAGAGACACCGGGGATAAGAGGGTGGTTGTTAAAGAGTATGTATGGTCAATGCAAAAGGGCTCCCAAGTGAAGGGAAAAGGTAAACCAAAAGGGGGAGAAAAACAAACCATCTTCTCAAATTCTTGGGGTCACTTGCATATTCTGTAAGACTCATGAGAAAAAGAAGAAAAAGAAAAAGAGGGAGAAAGGATGAGGAAGGGAGAGAGGAGAATGCAAAACTCAAGGGACCTCCCAAAGTCACTGTCAAGACGATCAGATGTGTCTTGACGCACACAAACATGCATGTGCATTACACACAAAGATAACATCTAGACTCCTTGATGCATAGACAAGGAACGGCAAGAAACTTATCAAGCATTATGAGTTTTCCCAAGTTATTTAAGCTAAGGTTTTTATTAGTTGATTTATACAGAACTGAGGTATATCCAAGTTGACATGAGCGGACTTAGAAAACTTACCTCTTTCAGAGTATTGGGGTTAATAGGAAACCCTTTCCCCCCAGTGAGGCTGGAATACTTCTTTTCCAAATGACAAAGATTCTCTTTTTCCTAAAGACATACAGAATCTATTACGCTCGAGACAAACATCGAAACCCCAAACACGCCTACTTCTATTTCCTCCCCTCACACTCGGTAAAGGCTTGTCCTTACAGGTCTCATCTGCTGTCTGCTGATACGATGCATGAGCAATTTCCAAACATACTGAGTTAGATAGCCCATCATTCAAGGTGAATGGTGTCACTTTTAGAAAGTGACAGTAGTCTTAAGGGAAAGACAGGATGTTCTAATTGAAGCAGAAAATGGCAAGAGGAGCCAGGTTTGGTGGTACCGGCCTGTAATTGCAGCACTAGGGACGTGAAGGAAGGAGGGTCAGGAGTTTACCTCGGCTACATAGTAAATTAATGCTAGTGTGGGCTACATTAGACAACTGAAAACAAACAGCAACACAATGGAAGCAGGGGTGCTCAGTCACTCAGGGCCTTCTCAACCTTCATCTTTTGGGAAGTTTCTATACTCAGAGTTTTATTTCCCTGAGTAATACACACTCATGGGGCCTCTGGCGATATAATCTCATAATCCATGGGTATATTTCTTTTGAAATCTTCACAGCACTCAGTTTTTTTAATGTTTAGGTCTACAATCTATCTTGGGTTAATCAACCATTAACTTCCAGGAAAATATTTATGAGGTATATTATTTTCCATGGTATAATTTACATAACAATACAATTCAAAGACCTTAGATATATAACTGATCATTTTGAACAAACAGAATAGCACAGCAGCCAACATAAAAAACCTTTCTATCACCCTAGACACATTCATGGCCCCCTTCATTCAAGCCCAAGCACAGAAGTCAAGCACTGCCCTGGTTTCTTGGCACACTGCCTTCCTTCTCCAGCATGACAGAAATGGAGCCATTCAGTATGCACGCTCCTGTACCAGCTTTACCCCACAGTGTCAGAGCGTAGATAATTAACCCCTACAGCATGCTGAGGAGGACTTTATCACATCCATGAATATTTTGTTAATTCACAGTTCTGATTGTGTTTGAGCAGAATGATGGCGGGGGCGGGGGTTGTTGTGCAAAAGCTACTTCAAGTACTTGTATACACATCCTTGTACACATCGATTATAAAGACATGCTTTCATTTCTCCTGTGTAAATATCTACTAGGAATCCTGCATCCAAGGTGGATACACATTCAAAGCCGTAAAAGAAACTTGGAGAGAGTTCTCCTAAGGGACTATGCACATCACACTCGCATCACCAAGGTGTGGCTGCGTTTACTGATCCATGTTCTCATTGGCACTTGAATTTTTCACGGTTTATGATAATGACTGGAATCATTTTAGGTGATGAGAAGTTGGGTCACACTTATTTCCATATTAACCTCAACCTCTTCCTCTGTCTGCTTTCTTTCTAATTTTTTATTTCATTTATTTTATTATTGTTTCATATGTGGTGTGTGTGTGTGTGTTTGTGTGTGTGTGTGTGGTGGCATGAACCACATGCTGTGGTGGATGGACAGAGGTCAAAAGACAGCTTTGGGGAGCCCATTCTCTTCTTCCTACCTCTTCATGACCTCCAGGGATGGGACTCTGGTCACGAAGCTTGCTTGGCTAGGGCCTGCACCAGCTCAGCCAGTTCGCCGCCCTCTTGTTAAGTAAATTTTGAGGCAGGATACGACAGTGTAGGTCGGAATCAATATGTAGCCCCAGTTGACTCTGAGTTTACATTTCTCCTGGTTTAGGCTTCCAGATGCTAAGATTACAAGTGTACCACTGTGCCTTATTGAATGGGAACATTTCATCCATTGGTCAAATTGCAGCTTGGTTTTGTGTGTGTGACTGTTTGAAACACCTTCTGCTCTGGGGAGTGAGTGCTTGACAATACTTTAGCTCCATTTGGGAGCCCTTTCAACAGTAAAGTCACCAACACACACACACACACACACACACACACACACACACACACACACACA